CACCTTCTTAAAAAATCAGTTTCTTTCCCACATGGTTTCATGGTTTCTCCGTCTGCTTCAGCCACTCCGTGTCACAGCCTAGTCATCTGCTCCATTCTGACCTCTTCTCCTGCTGATTGGCCGATTGGATGATGTGAGGCTTCCTCACCAGTCACCCCTGACTGGTGAGGAAGCCTGTCAATCATCCAATCGGCCAATCAGCGAGAGAAGAGGACAGAATGGAGCAGATGACTGAGGACTTGGAGGAGGAGTTCGCGGCCATCTTGTTTAGTTGAAGACGTTATGGAGGTCCTGTGTGCGGCGGTTTCGGGTCCTTAAAGATGGCGGATGCGGCACAGGTACTCGTTTTTAGTATCGGAGTATTTGCACGAGTACTCAAGCAAATACTCTGTATCGCCGCTGATACCAATGCTTGTATCGCTATCGGAGCATCCCTAATAATTATTATATGAAGCATTCTGTAATATAATATCAAAAAGTAGCTTTGCTATTAAAATTAGAGACTACATAGAGACAATTATAACATGCCTCTTATCATAATTGACTATTGGTACAGCATGTGTCAGTTTACGTATTCACTACATTCTGGATTTGTTCATTTATATTTTTGTTCTATACTTACTTGGTTGTACATGCAGAGAAATCCAGGCCTTCATTTGCTTTATTAAAGCCATCTACAAACATTGCACAAGGTGTGCTGGTGTGTCTTAGATCCATTCTGAACGGTTCATCTCTAAGGTGAGACAGAAGTATCTGAATATCTCAGCGTCTCCTTCAGGGGTGAGTGCTACACAAAGCACACTGAGAATCCAGGAAGTTGTTGAAAGTGATGGGCAGATGGAAGGCAGCACTCACTACATAAAAGGTATTTTTTCAAGTAAGCTTTGAATGCATTATGAAAAACAACTCTAGTATGTATTCCTATTACAATGCTGATGTTATAACAGAAACATGTATTTTGGCACTTCACAACTTCTTTAATTTTGTGCATTTTAAGCAGACCCACAGACCTAGATAAGTTCACACGGCTATTTTATTCAAGGTCAGTTCTCAATTACAAATAACTGCATTGTTATTCAAAATAAAAGTCTGACGCTTTTTTTAAGTTTTGCATATTCCAAAATATTGTTTGATTTTGGAACTGTAAGGAGTGATGTATATTATAGTAATAGTAAACTCTTTAAAGATATCATTTCTAGGTAGGTTACATGAAGCTTAGGAAGTATGCTGTACATATGTAGCAGATCAAAAACTGCTGGAGATCAAACATTCCTGCATGTATGCAGAGTAGCTCATAGCCACCAATCAGAAAATTCCATCACTGATCTCAGTACAGTAAAATGAAATCTTAGTTTTGACTATATGTAGGGCAGGGATGTTCGGTCAGGGGAGGCAGGTGAGGCACAGTCTCACCTAGTATTATGGATGAAAAAGCTGTCAGCGTCAAGTCCAAGCTGTCCAATCAAAAAAAGATTAAAAAAACACTGAGGACATTGATCTCCATGCTTCACCAGTGACGAGCAAGTGAGGGACAGGGAGGCTCCTCCCTGTCTCCTCCCTCCTTCACACTAGCTGGATTACCGAGTAGGGGTTGGGGCTTTGGTGGGATGGGGCTGGGTGTGCTGGGGGCGGAGCTGGGGTATGCCTCACCCAGCACGGAAGGTACCACACGTCATTGATTTAGGGATATCTGTAACAGGGTAAGTTGAAGGGATTTCTTTAGGATATAACTGACGTTATTACATTTTATAGCAGTTAGTTCTTATCAGTGCGCGTGATTCTTCATTTTGAGAAGGCGCGTGAGTGTCTCATAAGCGGCCTGTATTTCGATAAAATGTTGCTCAGCTTCTATGAGACGGTGTCGGTTGTGATCCGGGTGCCAGAGCTTTACCAAATCCCGATAATGGTGATTTACTTCGTCCATGGTAGAATCAGAATCCACTCCTAAAATCTGGTATAAAAATGATCTAGTGTTAAAATATAATTAACAGCGAATACTAATAAAATACAAACTTTCACTAAGCTGACCATACATCTATAGATTTTTGATTGGAAATTTTCATTGCTGCCAAGAACCCTCTTTCAATTCGCCCATCATGCACAGACCAATGTCGTTTTCGATAATCATTCGTTAGCAATACTAACTCACCATATTTTATCGATCGGCAGAACCGATTTTCGTTTGCACATGTGCAGTGATTTTGTTGTGATTTTTTTCGGACGAAAATGTCACCAATCCATCAATTTTTATTAGATTCGAAAAAGATTTTCCAGCCTCGCCCTTCGAGAAAATTTGGCCAGGAGAACAGTAAAAAAAATCGTTGGGTTCCCATCAACTGATCGTTCGAAAGACCATTTGTGGACAATTTCTGAACAAAAATCGATAGGTGTATGGGTAACTTTAGAAACAATGTTTATCGTCCATGATTAATATAACATAATGCTATATTTATAATAAAGAAAATGTCAGGGTAAAAAAGGAAGAAGTCATATGCAGTGCATCTCTGCAATACATACACATTTCCCAATGTTTTATCCTGGCGGATTGATATCTGCTGTACTCTCCAGTGCAGGCCGGGCCGGAACTTTAACTTAATTGTCGGGAGCCGCGGCTCCTGATATTAATGCGCCGGCCGAAAGTGAGAAAATAGTCCCTTCTCTCCCCGGGCCATACCACTTTATCGGAGAGCCCGGGGGAGGCCGGGGGAGAGGGGACAGTTTTACATTATGGAGTTCTCACAAGCTGTACTACAAATTCCCCTCTCTATTTCGCTCTACTGCAGATGGGCCGCTCCATGAAGAAATGACACCGCGACCCACTTTTGGGTCGCGACCCACGAGTTGAGAACCACTGCTTTATAGGGTATCTATGGTCAACAACTAAAAATAGACCTGTATTTCTATATTGAATTTCCATACGTTCTATCTCACTCCTGAAGATGCCCATAGGATGTATTTCCTTAAAGGAGAACTATGAGGTGAGTGCTTTTCACTCACCTCATAGTTCTAGCCGACCTGTGACAATGAGACTGTCAGAGGTCGGCTCAGTAGATCGGGAGGTGAGCGAACACATACCGGGTTCGCTCGCCTCTCGATCCTGTCACGGCTCTCTGCCGTGACAGGGGGAGGGGCTGGATTCCCCCCTCCCCGCTCCGATCCGCCATCGTTGACTGGCGGAACGGACGGGGGAGGGGGCGGGTACAGCTGGCTCTACCTCTAGATAGGCAGAGCCAGCTGTCACTCACGCAGCTGAGCGGATCCCGTCATCTACGTCAGGATCCGCTCCGGCTGCGGCGTCTCAGTATACCGCGAGCTGTAGCTCGCGGTATACTGAGCTTAGGGTAACGGGAGGACGCTAGTTTGTGTCCTCCCGTTACCCTAAGGAGAACTATGGGGAAAAACACTGACCCCATAGTTCTCCTTTAATGCACTGACACAATTCCACCCAGCCCTGTGAGCATGCACTTCATTGTGTCACCACTATAACTAAGCCTTCCTTCCGAACTACAACTCAGCGTCTGAACAATGTAACATTATCATTGTTTGCTGAAAGCAATGCATGATGGGATATGCAGTCTTGAAAAATTATGATTTTATCAGATCAAGCAGCAGAGAAAGAGATGCAAGGCACACTGGGAATCCAGGAAGTTGATAAGAGTGATGGGTAGACAGAAGGCAGCACTCACTACATAAAAGGGATTTTTTTTTTCAAGTTAGCTTTGAATGCATTATGAAAAACAACTCTAGTATGTATTCCTATTACAATGCTGATGTTATGATTGGATAGGATATGCTGGGACTTTACAACTACTTTTAAAACCCTACAAGTAGAGAAAATACGTATTCAAATGCACTCAGCTCCTCAGTCCTGCTGTGGGCTTACAACACACAACATGTTTTGTACTGAGTGGTGTCAGCCCTGCCCAGTAGTTTTTACAAAACCACTTAAAACCTCCCTTTATCCTCTTCTTTGCAACATAAGGATTAGTTGTTCTGTAGTCCCAAGATAAGAACTGGGAGAGCTAACTAGGCTTCTTGAGCTAACATAGAAAGTGTGCACAAAACATACGAGAGCTCTGTATTTCTGACACAATAGGTATGTTTAACAAACCAAAGAGATCAAATTAATGAAGATTCATTGTTTTGGTTTACATTCACTATAACAGTCAAATCACTGATTTTCTGTGCTTTCATTAATACATTTGTCTGCCTAATAGCCAGAAGATAAGCGCCGTGTTGCTGTTCTCTTCAGGTCTGTTTTTTATAAGAGCTGTTTTACTTTCCAAAGGATTTCTATTTCTGTCCATCCCGTTCTGAGATTTAAACAGCTTTGCAGCACAGCACATCCTCATCTGGCAGTGTTAGAGACCTGTTTTTTCTCTGATGTGGATAGGTAGCACTAGCACTTACAGGTCTTCTCCCCCTCCCTGCCTGTGACTGGACAGTGAAGGAGAAGCAACAGACTGTGGAGTTCACTATCCTGTCACTCTGATCTCTCCTCCTATCAGCTTGCTCATCAGTGCTGGGACAAGGTCATCCAGCGCCCAGTGCAAAGTTGCCAAACTGCACCCACGCACCCAGTATTTTCTTTTCTTATCACTCAAGGGAATTTATCAAAACGGGAGCAGACAAAATCTGAAGCAGCTGTGCATGGCAACCAATTAGCTTCTCTCTTTCATCTTCAAATCTTAAATGAACAAACTGAAGAGAGAAACTGATTGGTTGCCATTGTCAACTGCTCCAGATTTTGCCTGCTCCATTTTGATACATTCCCCCCAGTGACTCACAGCTGCCCCCTCCCCACCCTTCACTTGGCCCAGAGTGAATGGATACAGTGGTGGTCATCTTGACACACAATTATAGAGGGACCCAAGTGCAGCTTTGTGAGGACCACACAATACCTGCGTGTTTTAGTGTATTGATGTGCATTGCAAGGCTGTATCACACCACAGTACCTATGCAAAAGAGAAAGTGGGAGTAAAATAAGCCATATCATTGATGTCAGTGGCAGTAATTGTAACTCCCAGCCTTGGTGTCTGTGGCCACAATCAAAATCAGTGTTGGTGTCAGTGGGTGCAATAATAACCCTTAGCATTGGTGTTGGCGGGCTGGACAAGGTCATCCAGCGCCCAGTGCAAAGTTGCCAAACTGCACCCACGCACCCAGTATTTTCTTTTCTTATCACTCAAGGGAATTTATCAAAACGGGAGCAGACAAAATCTGAAGCAGCTGTGCATGGCAACCAATTAGCTTCTCTCTTTCATCTTCAAATCTTAAATGAACAAACTGAAGAGAGAAACTGATTGGTTGCCATTGTCAACTGCTCCAGATTTTGCCTGCTCCATTTTGATACATTCCCCCCAGTGACTCACAGCTGCCCCCTCCCCACCCTTCACTTGGCCCAGAGTGAATGGATACAGTGGTGGTCATCTTGACACACAATTATAGAGGGACCCAAGTGCAGCTTTGTGAGGACCACACAATACCTGCGTGTTTTAGTGTATTGATGTGCATTGCAAGGCTGTATCACACCACAGTACCTATGCAAAAGAGAAAGTGGGAGTAAAATAAGCCATATCATTGATGTCAGTGGCAGTAATTGTAACTCCCAGCCTTGGTGTCTGTGGCCACAATCAAAATCAGTGTTGGTGTCAGTGGGTGCAATAATAACCCTTAGCATTGGTGTTGGCGGGCGCAATAATAACCCTTAGTATTGGTGTTGGCGGGCGCAATAATAACCCTTAGCATTGGTGTTGGCGGGCGCAATAATAACCCTTAGTATTGGTGTTGGCGGGCGCAATAATAACCCTTAGCATTGGCATCAGTGGGCGCAATAATAAGCCTTAGCAATGTGTCAGTGGGCACAATAATAACCCTCAGCATTGGGTTATTATTCCTTCCTTTCCCCTTGCACTGGTGTTCAGTTGCAGTGCTATTTCATCCCTCCTATTGGTGGTCAGTGCCAGTGTCAGTTAATTACCCCCTCTGCATTGGTGGTTAGTGGCAGTAAAATGTAATCCCCCCCAGCCGGGAGGTTACCAACCTGTTTAACTGCTCCCATGCTGCTCTACTTCTCTTCCCAACGAGGCAGAGACTTTACTTTCAGTGCTGGTTACTGGAATGCAGAAAGCATTTCAGCCCATGGCTACCAACAGTTAAATAAATGATTCATCCTGGAGGGCACAGCTCCCCATGTCTTGCCCCCCCCCCCCCCCACCAAAAAATTCCACCCC